CTACTTTTGCGGTTTCCAGGGGGGGGATACAGGTGGTGGATCATGCGGGGGGGGAGCACACGGTCTACCCGGTGCTCTATGCCTATGTGACTGATCACCCGGAGGGGTGCAAGGTTTCTTGCACGATGCAGTGCAAGTCCTTCAGGCCCTGCTCCATCTGCCTTGTGGATCGGGACAACCTGAACAAGGTCCAGCCGGACACTATCAACCGCACGGTGAAGGGACAGAAGCTCATCTACAAGAAGATGCAGCGAGCAGTACGAGCCAAGAAGAAGAAGGAGCTGGCCGCTCTTAAGGCCAAGTGGTCCACGCACCAAGTGCCTGTAGGTCGCCCATGCACTGCGTTTCCTAAGCTGCTGTAAGCTCCGTACCCGCATGCCATAACATTCCTGTCTTTGCATTCATGCCCTTGCATTCCTGCCCTTTGACCGAGTCCCATGCATCCCAACCCTTGCATTTCTGTGTAAGCAATCTTGTCTTTGCATTCCTGCATTTGCATTTGTATCTTTGCCTTCCTGTCTTTGCCTTCCTGCCTTTGCATTCCTGCCTTTGCATTCCTGTCTTTGCCTTCCTGCATTTGCATTCCTGCCTTCGCATTCTGTCTTTGCATTCCTGCTTTGCTTTTGTCTTTTTCTGTTTTGCATTCTTTGCTTTCTGCCTTTGCATTCCTGTCCTTTGCATTCCTGCCTTTGCATTCCTGCTTTGCATTCCGCTTTGCATTCCCCTGCATTCCTGTATTTGCATTCCTGTCGTTGCATTCATGCCCATGCATTCCTGCCTTTGCATTCATATCGTGTCTGCTGTGCAGTGTGTGCTTTGGAAGTGGGAGTTCTCAACCACTTCGTGGGGCAACATCTACCTTGCTCTTCCGCCAGACATCATGCACATGATTGAACAGGGCTTCTGGCTCCATGCGATGCGGTGCTTGGCTGCCAAGCTGACGAGGAAGGAGCGGAAGATCTTGCTTGAGTACGTAGTGCCCGGTTGCTCTCTCTTGCCCCAAACACGCTTGGCCATGGAGGCTCTCTTCCACCCAGACCACTCATCCATGCCCACCCGCTTTCTCACACTCATGGCAGGCGTTTCAACGCTCTGAAGGCTGTGACGCCGTCATTCCTGCTCAGGCTCCCAGGGGCGTGGATGTACTTCACTACGACGGCGGGTTTCGCAGCATCAGAGCACCGTGCTATGATGCAGGTGCTCCCGCTGATTCTGTATCTTCCGGGCCGCGATGACATCTACAAGGCGGTCCTGGCGATAACGAGTTGGTACAAGCAGTTCATACGTGCGGAGTACCACACCGACTCCAGCCTCAAGAAGATGGACGAGTCCGCCACAGAGTGAGTCGGCTCACGCACTGGGACATTGGGTTCCACTGTATATCGTCCCCACCCCGTGCACTAGTCATCTGATCCTTCCCTATTACAATGGTCCCCTGCTTTTAGCCACAGATCCCTCCTTCCACCCCTCGTTCCCCCCCAAAACAGGGACACGCCTTCCCACTCTTGTCCCTCCCTTCCTTTAGTTGGCCCCTCCTTCCTCCTCTGGTACATTTCCCATCCCCCGGTCCCTCCTCCCCCGCTGGTACCTTGTCTGGCCTACTCGTTCTGGCCCCTCCCTTCCATCCCCTGGTCCCTCCTTCCATCCCCCGCTCCATCCTTCCATCCCCTGGTCCCTCCTTCCATCCCCCGCTCCATCCTTCCATCCCCTGGTCCCTCCTTCCATCCACCGCTCCCTCCTTCCATCCCCTGGTCATTTATTCAGGCGGGGTCTGCCCATCCCGTTCTGCTCCCTCCTTACTCTTCTACTCTGCCCATCCCGTTCTGCTCCCTTCCTACTCTTCTACTCTGCCCATCCCGTTCTGCTCCCTCCTTAATCTCGTGGTCCTTCATTCAGGCGGGATCTGCCTTCTCCGTTCTGCTCCATTCCTTCACCCCCATGGTCCCCCCTGAAACCCTTTCTCTACTCCTAATTCCCTTGGTACATTGCCCATCCCCCCAGACCCGCCGTCCACCACAGGTAACGTATGTAACCAGGGTCTGCCCTACTCGTTCCGGTCCCTCCCTTACATCCTCTGGTCCCGTCGTTCCCCCACTGTTCCTTCTTTCGAATAAGGTATACCCTTAACACTCTAATCCCTACCTTCGCTCCCTTGATCCCTCTATCCTCCCCTGGTCTACAGGTCAATAAGGGTCTGTTCATCCGGTGCGTCCGTTCACTCCCTAATTCCCTACTTCCTCCCTGGTCTTCCACACAACCAGGGTCTGCCCTTCCCGTGCTAGCTCACCATATAACATCCCCTGGTTGGACGGCCAGCCAGGATGATTCCCTCATGAAATTCACTTCAACCCTGGGTGGGAATTTCTCCACTACCTCGTCTCTACCTCTCTCCAGAACCTGGTTCCCTTCCCCCACCCTAAACCCTTTAGAGTTTCTCTTCCTCGCACCCCGTGTCAGTCACCTCTTTTGAAGCGTTTGTGCAACCTTTTCCCCTCTGCACGTCTCACACTATCCATCCGTGCACGCTCCCTAGTAGGATGGTGGCTTTACTAGAGGTGGCATTTGACAACCAGAAGTCGAAGTGGCACATCGTGAAGATACATGGCGTCAGCCACGTCACCTCCTCTATCACGGCACGCGGCGTCCCCCAGGAGTACTCATCGAACTGCTACGAGCACGGACACAAAACAACAGTGAAGAGGCCATCTCGCGGGTCAAACTGGAAGAATGTGGGGGAGCGCATCGTCAAGAAGCACATCCAACACGCTGTGGTGCGTCAGCTAACCCGCGAGGTCGGGGGCGACGCGTCGTACGAGACGGCCATGAAGCAGGTATGGAGCGGTTTGATGGGTGGCCAAAGGGGTGGAGGGATTCGAACTCCATGCGTTTCCAGGTACCCTAGCTGCCCTATTCCCATATTTCTCCAAGTGTATAGACGGACCTACCCCTTAGCCAACCCCGTAACAACCTCGTGCCTAACACGCCACTGCCGCTTCCATCCTCCAAATGCCATACACGGCACAGGCATCCCTGAGGAACCAGCGTGTCCTCACCAAGACCCACAAGAAGATGGAAGCGGGGGACACACGGGATCCTGTCTTCCGCAATTACATGAGGACCGCGGGGGTGCTGGCGATGCACGAACTGGAGGAGCGCCTTCGCCTCGCCAAGATTAAGACGCGGACAATCTTTGTACGTTAACTAGACCCTGAGGCATGGGTTTGGGGATTGGGATGGAACGTGAGGGCGGGGCAGGGAGTGGCAGGGTGACTGGGCACCTTATGGCAGGGAGGAGATGGCCGTGAGTGGGAGGGAGTGGTATGGCTTGGAAGGTCAAGGGACGGAATGGACAGTGATGGGAGGGAATGTATGGGCATGGCATGGAATGGGAGGGTATGGACAGGGACGGGAGGGAATGGATTGGGAAGGCATGGAATGGGAGGGTATGGACAGCGATGGGAGGGAATGGATGGGGATGGCATGGAATGGGAGGGTATGAACAGCGATGGGAGGGAATGGACGGGGATGGCATGGCCTGGGAGGGTATCCCAGGGATGGGAGGGAATGGATGGGGATGGCATGGAATGGGAGACTGCATTGACTACTTGGCTACCTCAGCTCTTAGGGTCCCATTTAATAAATGGGCATGGCATGGAATGGGAGGGTATGGACAGAGATGGGAGGGAATGGGAGGCCATGGACGGGGATGGGAGGAAATAGGAGGGAATGCACGGGGATGGGAGGGAATTGGAGGGAACGGGGTAGGAAGGAATCACTGAGAATGGGAGTGGGAGTGGGAGGGAAAGGGCCGCGAACAGCAAGCTCTCGCAGGATTTGGAGAGAGAGTCAGGGAATAGCAAGGAATGAGTCAAGTGGGACGGGGAGGGGGCCTTGGGAGCGGTACCAGTGGGATTGGTGGGGTTTGGCCAGTGAATGGCATGGAATGGCAGCAATTTGGTGGGACCGGGCTCTCTTTTTTCCACACCCTAAACCCTACCGTGGCCCCTCTGTCCACGTCTCCCCTCTATCCCCTCCTGAGCTCAATCCGTCTAATCATACAATATGACTATCATGTGCCATGGTACCATGCCTCCTTGCCAAGCGCTGCCCTCCCATCTACGATAATTCAAGGCACACTCGTGCCCCCTCTCTACACCCACCCGCCTTCCCTGAACTCCCCCCATTGCCCCCTACCCTAAACCCAGGTCCACACAGCCATGGCCATCCCCCCCCATGACAGCATGGAGTGGACCTCAAAGGGCCAGTTCGTGAAGGCGAGCCCTCACGAGCGCCTCTTCTCTGACGTCTCGATCAGGCCTGGCGGCGGCGTGGGGGAGCCGTGGTATGGTCGTGTCCTGGTGCTTTTCCATTACCAGGATGGGGAGGTGGAGAAGCGCGGGGCGTTCATCCAGTACTACACCGAGGCACAGAAGCCTTGCCCCATCACCGGGTGCAAGCGCCTGACGCCAACCTTGGGCATCGACAACTATGCCGTTGTGGACGTGGACAGCATCCTGAGCCTTGCACATGTGGTTCCGTGCTGCACGGACCCGAAGTACCGGCTCGTTAACCGGTTTCTTTTCTGAACCACCGGTTGCGCTCTTATTTATGCATGACTTTGTTTAAATTGACCTTGTCTTAGAGGTTGACAATTGAGTGACTCGTACTGAGCATGATACTTTTAGTTTGCAGCGACAACCATTCACAGTGCTCGCAGCAGGTGATGACCCCACTAATAATATAGCAACAAACCCTATCATTTTTATTTCCCACACATGATATATTCCATACATAAACAATTACGTTCGAACATAACCAAAAAAACACAGGAGTGTACTACGATTGGACAGACGCTTATCGCTTTGAAATCATAGGGTTTAGAAATCGTAGCTTTTGCAAAACATACATTTTACATTTACACCCTGCCAAATGCTACGCGAACGTTCTGCGAATGGTATTTGAATGTTCTGCAGATAGTCGGCATCCTCGCTCCACCTCGAATGGTTTTTAGATTGCCACTTTTTTGCGATGTAACATCCGGCGTTTGAGTCAAACGCACGCCTTTCCAGCCACTTGTCGCGGCGGCATTTATCACGCAAAGGCTGCTGCATCCTACTACTACTAGTACTCTTAGTACTATTATTCGTCGTAGCGGCATTTTTCCAACAGTGGTCTTCCGGCGCTCCCCTGGAAGCACGCGCGCCATCATGGCGGAGCCTCGGAGGCCCGGCATGGGCGCGGACGGCGCGGGTAGCCGCATGATATGGCTCGGCGCGCTGTTCGTGCTGCTGACGTGTCTCGCCGCGGTGTCTCCCGTCCGCTGTGTGCCCTACGCTGCATCCCAAGGTGCGTGGCATGCACGTCACGCGTGGTACTAGTAGGCGCTGCTGCTGTATTCGCAGGAATGGCGGGGAGTCCTGCCAACGTTGCGTCACAAACTTTGTCAAAAGCTTGCCCGACTCAAGAGTCGGACTCTTCCGTCACACTGGGCTGGCAGCCCGCTGGGCGCTGCAGAAAAAGAGTGGCTGCCTGTGACAGGTCCATCTCCGTGGGAAGGCTTCCTGCCCAACTCAGTACTGAGTTTCGTCGGGGGCCCAAGTTAGACTCCAAGCCCGAAACGAGTCTGAACAACGGAGTAGTGTTGCTGTACGAACAGCTAGCTACATCATAGGTGAGGTGAAAGCCGCAATTTTTGTGACGAGGAGCTTTAAGCTCACGCTTCTGTTGTTAGTAGGCGATGCTGTGGTACACACGAACTCTTGTTTGCCCTTCGCTGGTTGACTAGGGTTCAGGTTGAGTCGGTGACACATACTTGTACCATACAAGAGTGACGAGTGCGAGGCCGTGTCCGTAGCTGGCTTCGTGTCACGGGCTAGTCGTCGCAGGGGTTGGCGAGACGTGACTAAGGCCTGTTGGCAGCGTTAGCAACAACGTGTCAGCAACCCCAACGGTTCGTGCCGAGCGACCTGTATCGTACCGCTACTACTGCTGTCGTTTGGCCCCAACTGCAGCCGGCAACTAAACGAGACATGGTCAGCGACCCAGCGAGCCAAGCCGAGCCGAGCGGAGCTGAACGGAGCCGAGCCGCACCGAGCAGAGCAGAGCCGACCCGAGCCGGCTCGACGAGCCAGGTTTCTGGCTGGGCTCGTCACGCTCATACATGTCTAGCCGGGATCGGGCCGGCTCGTCTGTGGCTCGTCGACAAACCATTGCGTGTCTTGAGCGGATCCGGCAGGCGCAATGGCAGATCCGCGCGGATCTGATGGGCAGAATGGCCTCCTGCGCCATCCACGCGGATCTGTAATGCCACATCCACATGGGAGGCGCTTGATGTAACGTCTGCGGACGGAATTACCCTAGAGTGTAGAAACGCATTCCGCTGCGCCTCTGGGTAACCTCGTTTTGACCCAGTGGGTAGCGAGGCGTTATACTGGTATCAGAGCTTAGGGTTCGAGCCCCGGCTGGGACACATTTTCCACGCACGGCTGAGGTCGTGGCGAGAACTCGAATGTGTGAAAATACAGCTGCGGTTGCATCCAGTCGCGAACCCAGCGAACGATCCTGGTAACCGCTGTGCATCACCAGCGACGTCGCTGACTTGGACCACCAGCGAAACTCGAGGTCCTTGCGGGGGCCGACTCCCTGAACCCAACAAGGACGTTGGCACCAGGGGGGGACGAGTGTAACGTCTGCGGACGGAATTACCCTAGAGTGTAGAAACGCATTCCGCTGCGCCTCTGGGTAACCTCGTTTTGATCCAGTGGGTAGCGAGGCGTTATACTTGAGCTGGGGGGCTCATCACGAGCCGGGCCCCGGCCTGCCCTCTTAGGCCCGGGGTGAGTCAGGCCGGACGAATCGGTTGCTGTGGCTCGGCTCGGCTCGGCTGCGGCTCGGCTGCGGCTCGGGCCGGGTCGCATCCATGTCTATACCGAACTCCTCGGAGTAGTTAATGTGCCTTTGATTTGCATAGTGGTTTTACTTATCTGCATCTACGTTGTACCTACTAGACATGTGCACAAGGACGAGCAGGCTCGTGCCGTCTCGTTATTTCTTGTGCTCGCCTCGACTCGAGTCGAGCCGCCTCGAGCCGGTTGAGCCGCCGGCTCGGCTTGGCTCAGCTCGGCTCGACACACCCACATCCCTCCAGCCAGTGTTGACCTGGCTCGTTGTGACTTTGGAGTCGACTCAAAAGTCACACGCCTCGATCCAGGGTGGAGCTGGCTCGTTTCCGACACGTTGACGAGACGTGCACGGCTCGTGCGGACCTGGCTGGCGAGGTCTCTGCAAGCACAGTCTTGATGGACGAAATGCCAGATCCACGCAGAGCATAGCTGGCGGGCAGAGTGCTACTAAGGCCGGGCCTCACGAGCCGAGCCAAGCCGAGCGAGCAGAGCCAGCTCGAATTCGAGCCAAAGCCCGGCAGAATCCTGGTTGGATGAGCCGAGCCGAGCAAACTGTGTGCCCGACTCAAGGTGGCTGGCATGAGTCGGCTCAGCTCGATTGGGGCCTGACTCAGGCTCAGCCCAGGCTCGTGCCAGGCTCGTGCCAGGCTCGTGCTTGCTCGTCCTTATGCAAAAATTTAGAACCTATGGCGTACTTACTCCGTACATATGTTGTACGTACTACGTAATTCTGCTCTGTCTTCGCAGGTCGCACTGACTAAAGCCTTTAGTTAGGGGCAAATTTTACATTTTCCAGGCGCCTCATTCGAAGCTCGTCATGCACACTTCGTCTCACCTTCCGAAGGTCACATGAAACTAAACCTGCAGTCTGAGGATCCGTAACCTGCCCTTTGTGGGCATTGCTCGGACTACGCTTCGCCACGTGGTAGTATTACTAGCAATCGTTTCTTCTCCCTCAGCCTGAGTGCGAAAGTTTTTGCCAACTCGTTCGCACCAAATCAGCATGGCTCGAAATTGGTTGAAACATTTGCATGCAGATTTCCAGTTCGTTTCGAAGAATGGGTGTTTTTTGCCAACTATCAGCTATCCAGGTTTTAGGTTTGACACGTCCCAACACTTGTCCTCATTGTAGGCTTTGTCTGATTTTGGGTCAATTTCAATGAGGACAATACACACGTGATCTTTCCATGTACCATGTGGAACCATCCCATGCCATCCCATGCCATCCCATGCCAACCCATGCCACCCCATGCCATCCCATTTCACCCGTGCGATGGCAGGGCCGGTGCAGCGGAGCGGAGCAGCAAACATGGCTTCAGTGGTAGTCGCAATAATAGCAGTTGCCCTGCCCCCTGCCCTTCCCTCCCTCCTGCCCCTCCCCCCTGCCCCTCCCCCCTGCCCCTCCCTCCTGCCCCTCCCCCCTGCCCCTCCCCCCTCCCCCCTGCAGCTCCTCGCCCATTCCCCTGCCCTTCACTCCCTCCTGCCCTTCCCTCCTGCCCCTGCCTCCTGCCCCTCCCTCCTGCCCCTGCCTCCTGCCCCTCCCTCCTGTCCCTGCCTCCTGCCCTTCCCTCCTGCCCCTGCCTCCTGCCCCTCCCTCCTGCCCCTTTCTCATTCCCTACCCTCCTGGCCCTCCCTCCTGCCCCTCCCTTCCCCTGCCTCCCTCATTGCCAAAAAGATATTGACAATCAAGCACTCTTTGCTAACAATCACAGGTCTTGATCCTGGAGTTGCTGCTACGTATTGATTTGACAGCATGCCACCGAATTGGTGCTCTGTCGGGCCCTCCCTCCCTCCCTCTACCACCTTCGTCGCCAAAACGATGTGCTCGATTTCAACCCCTCCTTCCTTCCGACTCTCCTCCCTTCCGCCCCTCCTTCCTCCCGACCCTCTTTCCTTCCGCCGCCCCTCCCCTCTACTACCCCGAGAAGAAAGTTTTCTTGGACTGCCAGAAGGTGTGGGGTCAGACGTTCGTTGGCTGGGGGGGACTTGGCGGTAGCAACTGCAACAACGAAACCAATATCACCTTCGACCCCTGATTTAGCTGTCCATCCCCTATCCTGCCCCAAGAGAAAGCTTCCTGGACTGGAGCGCCAGAAGCCGTGGGGACAGACGTTCGTTGGCTGGGGACTTGGCGGTAGCAACTGCAACAACAGTACCACTCTCACCTTCTGCCCCTCCTTCCGCTGTCCCTCCCACCCCTGTCCTGCCCCCAGTAAAAGTTCTCCTGGACTGCCAGAAGGCGTGGGGGAAGACGTTCACTGCCTGGGCGCTTGAGAATGCTTACTGCCCCAACGTTACAGAATATGGAAATCCCTTCTGTGATGCCAAGGGGATGGTAACCTCCATGTGAGTGTGCACTTTAAACCCATGACCTTGATACTCGAGCACGCTTTGTGACAATGACAACCCTGCCCTGTCATGATGACTGGCAGGCATGGCTTTGGGCTGACTAGTCTCGTCTCTTCATTTCTCTTCTCTTCTGCGTCCATATTCTTGGGATCAGAAGTACCATCCGTGACTCCATGCCATTTATGCAGTCCATGCCATTTATGCAGTCTATGCCATTTATGCAGTCTATGCCATTTATGCAGTCTATGCCATTTATGAAGTCCATGCCATTTATGCAGTCTATGCCATTTATGCAGTCTATGCCGTTTATGCAGTCCATGCCATTTACGGAGTCCATGCCATTTATGCAGTCTATGCCATTTATGCAGTCCATGCCATCCGTAGTGAGCAACATGTAACGCTTAACTTGAATCCTAAAACCCAGGAACATTATGTAAAAATTAAACGTTTCAATACCTTGCGTTTAATGGCTCTGCATTGCGTTTCACATGAGTTGCTTCCAGAAATCTCGGCGGTGGTAACCTCCATGGCACAATACCAGCGTCACTGGGAAATCTTATATCGCTGACCTACTTGTGAGAATCTTTACCTCTTCAAGGAATTTTATACTGCTCCTCACCACCACTTGTTCTGAAACCTATCAGAGATCCAAATTATCATGTTATAGCCTAAATAACCTAAATAAGACTTTTTTTTTTACGTGCACATTCAACGGTCGCATTCACTTGTTTCATAATGATGCTACATTTTTCTTGCCCTCCTCCTTCAATCCAAGACGTAATCCAATGCACGGTACAACACACGTCACTCAACGTTCCATACCCGACCCATGATCCATCCATCTCATCCCTTGTCAGGGATCTACATGGAAATTATTTAGCCAGACCCATCCCATCTACTATTGGGAGCATCAGCAGCCTGCAGTACCTGTGAGTGCCGCAGATGGCCTTGAACATGCAAGCTTCATTTTACGCTTGGGAGTGCATGCTTGCTTCTCGTGCCGTGCTCCATAGATTTGTTTTTGTGTCTGCTTTCCATGCTGGTTCCCTGTAGAAAGCATTGCCAAGCACCTAGTTCTTGTCACCAATGTGCTTCATTCTTGTCACCAACTATGGATGCCTCCCTTAGAAACAGACTCGACTTGTCTAATGCCGGCCTCAAGTCGGCCGAGTCTCAATCAAGTCTCATATTATAGCACCCAAGTCGACATAAGAAATAACCTAAACAGCACTTTTTTGTTACGTGCGCATTCACTCGTTTCATAGTGATGCTATATTTCTCCTGCCCTCCTCCTTCAATCCAAGACGTAAACCAATGCACAGTACAACACACGTTACTCAACGTCCCATCTCAGAACCATCCATCCCGTCCCTTGTCAGGGATCTAAGTGAGAATTATTTAACCGGACCCATCCCATCTACAATTGGGAGCATGAGCGGCCTGCAGGACCTGTGAGTACCGCAGATGGCCTTTAAAACCCGCGGCCCAAATTGTTCATACGCAGCGCGTATGAACTTTGAGCCTCGGTCTGTTGGAAATTTGCGGAAAAATCGTGAGGGTGTTTCATCTCGCGAATTCGTGATTTGTCGTGAACCGTCAGATTTGCAAACACACAGTTTGACGGTTGAGAAAACACTTCGATCGAGTGGGGGAAAAACACTGTTTTCGCGCCATCAGACGGTAATCTGAAAGAAATGGATGGATGAAAATGCGTGGCACTTGGTGTCCCAAAATACCTGCCGCACTGAACTTGAAAGGCACCCCTGAGTGACGACAGTCACGTTACCCCCCCCCCCAAACACCCACAGAATCGCAAGTTTCAAACGCACTGCGTTTGAAGGCCGCGCCTCGCAATTTGGGTCGCAGCTTTTAACATGCAAGCCTCATTTTGCTCTTGGGAGTGCATGCTTGCTTCTCGTGCCGTGCTCCATAGATTTGTTTTTTTGGTTTGCTTTCCATGCTGGTTCCCTGTAGAAAGCATTGCCAAGCACCTAGTTCTTGTCACCAATGTGCTTCATTCTTGTCACCAACTATGGATGCCTCCCTTAGAAACAGATTCGACTCGTCTAATGCCGGCCTCAAGTCGACCGAGTCTCACTCGAGTCGAGTCTTTGACTCGAGATACTGAAGTCTGACTCGCTGAGTCGACTATTAGGGTCAAGTCGAGGTTGACTCTAGGTGTGTCAGGCCCGACTCATGGCAAGTCGAGCCTGATTCGACTCGTTTGACCTAGAGGGTGACTTTGGTTCCCCTTGATTGACGTCAGATCTGTGCGCGTTGGTGGGGGCGGTCGAAAAAGGACGATCCGAGTCAAGTCTCCATTCTTCTGCTCGTGCCGATCTCCAGTGGCGTCTTAAACGAGGATCCCGAAACCCCCTGGGACCAAAAACCTAAACCCTGGTCTCCAGCCAAAACGCCCCACAGATCAAAAACAAAGTTTTTGATATTGGGGGTCTTGGGATCCTCGCTTCAAGGACCCTCACACACCCATCCGTTGGTTCCCCTGTAGGCATTGTGCTCTTTGGCAGTGTGCTTGTAACAAAGGAAGAGTAAGGAAGGCTGTCACACACAGTCATCGCTTGGGGCATTATCCATTACATGATCATATCATACACCTCACATGTTACTTCCTTGCATGTCTCCCATCATCATCATCATCGTCGTCGTCATCGTCATCGTCATCGTCATCGTCCTCGTCATCGCCTCGTCCTCGTCCTCGTCCTCGTCCTCGTCCTCGTCCTCGTCCTCGTCCTCGTCCTCGTCCTCGTCCTCGTCCTCGTCCTCATCCTCATCCTCACGCCCTTCGCGCTTCGCGCTTCACGCCCTTCGCGCTTTATCCCCTTCATGCTTCATCCGTCTTGCATGTCCTAAATTTTGCATCTGCAGAAGCCTTTCAGATAATTTGCTGGGAGGACCCATACCTGAAACATTTGGCAATCTTCAAAATGTGACCATGTTGTGAGCCTCTTGACTTCCAAGGACAGCTTGTGTGTATCTTTAAGATCAGCTTCGAGGTTTGGTTCCACTTGCTACGGAAGCCTGTAATTTCTTCTCATCTTTACGTCAAATTAATCTGCTTGCTCGTCTTTTATTACTTGTGTCCATCCAATCACGTGCAATTTTTCACATCACAAACCACTCAATCACCTTATCCTTCCATTATTCTATCCCCTGTCATTCTTCCATAAATCCCCAACCCCTGTCAGGAGTTTAAACAAAAACGCCTTGACCGGACCAATTCCATCTACTATTGGCAACATGACCAGCCTCAAAGGAATGTCAGTATCATGGCAATAGACATGGAAACATCGGTTTCGGCTTAGGCGGACAAGGCTGTTGTCATTGGAAAGCAGAGTTGTTAGTTACCACTAGGCTTGAGCAAAACCGGGTAATTACCCGACCCGACCCGGTTTTGCAATACCCGACCTCGGGTCGGGTATTTTCGGGTCGGGTCCGGGTCGGGTAATATGCCCAGGACCCTTACCCGGACCCGGCCTTAAGGGGACGGGTAATACAATACCCGCCTGGCGGGTCCGGGTATACCCGACCCGGTTACCCTGAAAAGCGGGTAATACTACTCGCCACCTTCTAGTGGACATCCTAAGGTTGGGCTAGGCTAGGTAGGGTTTCTGAAAACGCGACTCTCAAATGAGAGACTCGTCCCCCCTCACCTCCAAAACCGTTTTGCTGCAAAACCTAAAACACAGCGCGACTTACGCCCATGTCTAGGTGCAATACCCGACCTCGGGTATTATTTACCCGCCCGGGTCGGGTACCCGTTACCCGACACGTCGGGTAGCATTTCGGGTAGCGGGTATTGAATACCCGCCCGGGTAACCCGGACCCGACCCGCTGGGTAATTTTCAGGATTCCCGATACCCGACCCGCCCTAAAAGCGGATCCGGGTCCCGGGTACCCGACCCGGGCGGGTAGTTTGCTCAAGCCTAGTTACCACTGTGCTAAAAGGCCCTCCCTGGTGGTTGTGGTGGGCCAATGCGCCCACTATCCATCCCAGATCCCTTAAGCCCTCCAGTAACCGTTCCCGCTGATCTCAACGACAACAGATCCCAATGCTCCTTTTCCTAGCAGATGCTGCTGCTGCCGTTGCTAATCACTCCACTCCACCAAGAGCTCACAACCCTATTAATTTCAGTGTCCATCACGTTATGGTCTAAACCTCCTCCTAAACTCATTTTGCACCTGGCCTCCTGAATCCCTCCTGAAACCCTAAATTCGTCAAGAACTTTTTCTCCGGGGTAGAAGAACTCGACCTAAAAGTAGAGTAAAGGTCGAGCTTGTTTTCCCGGCCGAGTTGAGTCCAGTTTTACATGGCAAGGCAAAAACACGGACATCGCTTCTCAAAACTCAACTTTGTCGAGGCGAGTTGAGTCGAGTTCTAAAAAACCCGACTCAAATGCTCATGTCCAACTACAGGCACCATTGCAAAATGTTTGCTACGTATCTGCTCCAACACATCTCAAACGTTTTGCAAATGTGGGGATGCAAGGACTTGCGGAATAAAATAAGAACACTTCTGATACGGTTGGACAACGTTTGCAAAAACACTTTGGTGACTTCGTCCCACGGTTATTTCTTGCGATGTCTCCGCCTCCTCCTCAGCAAGGTGCGAAAGAAATGGCGCTAAAAAAAAAAACCATATAAAACGGGATCATATGAAATGGTCATTTAATACGATTAAAATGATCAAAAGTGGTGTTTTGCGACTGGTGCAAAAAAACGGTTGTTTCATACGGTTAGACATGGTCAAAATGCGATGCGATGCGAGATCACATCGCATTTTGACTTATCGCACATTACTTCGCGGCGATGCGATGTCGCATTGCCGCGATATGTTTTTGAAAAAACCCAAAATCGTATATCGTGTTTTGGGTGCGATATTTTTAGTTATCGCGCTGTAGAGTGCGATATATTGTGGGATGCGATAAGATATCGCATCGCCAGGGCTAAATTTCAGGCAATGTAAACTACAGCAGCAATTTGGTGAGGCAGCTAACTGGGAGGTACCTATGCTCGGGTTTGAAATTGGTGCTTCTATGCTTGCTTAAGAATGGAGGAGTGGAGGTGTGGCTAGGTGGCTAAGGGAGTTCCAAGGGTTTGCATTTTGTGCTTGCATGCTAGCTTGGGAATGGGAGTGAGGTGGTGGGAAATAAGATGGGATTGTGTTGGGGTGGGGTTCTCTCAAAGAGAATTTGTCGCAGCCCTTTTTGGGCTTTGTCCCCCCCCACCTCCCCCCCTCCCCCCCCCCCGCCAATTTCGCGCGTGCATTCTGTGTTTTGTTCCCCCAACTATGTTGCAAAAAACGCTCTGGCAGGCGAGCGTTTTGTGTTTAAACGGTGGAGTTTAAACGCAAAATGCTAAAACGCTAGAAAAAGCACAAACGCTCAGGTTTTTTATTTCAAGGCAGCCCGACGAAAAAAAAAAAAAACGAAAAAGTTGTGCGAAAGTTCGCGATGTGGCGAATCCAACCAGGAACATCGCGAAATGTAATGAAGGTTCAATGCCAACCAAACACCTAAATTTGCTTCAACCACTCTCCACCCCATCTCATCTAGGACACCCAACCACCACTCCTCACATACTTCTACTCACCAGAGACAGGTCGATCGTCGTACAGATCTGGTGCACTAGGCGCTCCTCAGAGCTCCCTGTTGCACAGTTTGCACTACTTTATTGCTACGATATAGACCTAGGCAGTAGTCTCGAGTAAGTGCCCTGCCCGAAAGAAAAAAATTGCCCTGCCCAACCTAGAGTTCTCGTGGCTTTTGCCCCCTGGCTCCTGAGTGTTTAGCGCGCAAACGCTAGCGTTTTTGCAACAAAGGCGCGTGATACGCAGAAGTATCGCGCGCGATTTTTTTAATTCGCATATTGCATTATATTGCGCTAAAAAAAGCGCGATATAATCGCGATATCGCCAAAATTACGCGATTAAATCGCATCGCATCGCTGCGATTTTTTCAAAATAAGAATAAAATCGAACCACACAAACAGGTGGGGTGTACTAGACTCGTTTGCGGAATCGGACGTTGGGTTTTTGGCCGAGCCGAGGAGGAGGATGACTAGGGCGAGACGGAGAAGGACTAATAGGAGGAGGAGTAGAGCCGGAGGACGAGGACTAGGAGGAGGAGAACTAGGAGGGTGAAGAGAAGAGTAGCCACTAGACGGAGAAGGACTGAAAGGAGGTATAGGAGGAGGCGGATGGTGTTTTAGATGCATGTAGGCTGTCACCGCCACCAGGCCCACTGTTTCCCTGCGTTTTATGAAGTAAAAAAAAAACTCCTTTTTTTTTTCAAATTTTACATAGATCTGCAGCACAAAACGACTGTATAAAACGGACCGTTTAATACGGAAACCGTTTTTTTGCACCTTGCTCCTCAGCGTCTTAATCACGCCTTGAACGCGCATACCAGGTCTGTGCATTTTATCCACCGAAATGAGAAGTCTGTGCATTTCGGCATGAAATGGCAGATCCGCGTTTCTCCTGCCGAAACGCTAGACTTGCGGATTTCACAGGTATTTTTCACACTCTTTGTGCATAAAATCTGGCCCAAAAAAAAAACTTCTGGTTTTTTTGCACCACCCCAAAAAAAGGCATAGTCGACCGCATTTCCATCATATACAGCCATTGAATTCGGTACAGTAAAATACAGGAGATAGATGGATTTTTTTTGTACCTTGGACCCTACAAAACGTGATTCTTGAGGCGTGTACAAATTTGCACCATGCCACTGAGCCACTCATGCGAGACTATTCTTGTACTCTCTTGAAAACCCTTTGTGTAACCATTAATTCATGGTGTGGTTAGAAGTAACGTTTTGTAAGCGTTCATTTATGAATTGATACAAAGCACTGTAGCTTGTGGCAGAGAACTCTCCTTGTTCCTCTCAGCTAGACTGTGACAGTTGCCAGCTTCACGGCATGTCTCCACTCCACATATGCACGTCCCTATTCAAATGCATGCACTTTCTGATTCTTCATCAGATGGTTACATAACAACACCTTGAATGGCACCCTTCCGGAATCGCTCGGCAATCTCATCAGCCTCCAGAGCCTGTGAGGATTGTTATCCTTTTGGAGAGAGAATCGGTAATAATCCATTTATGAGAGCCCGTGAGGATTGTTATCCTTTAGATTGACATAAGAGTTTTCCATTCTGTGGTGGGGATGCTTGCTTAATGAGAAACATACTTCCATTGTGCGGCTACCTGTGAATGTGCATGTGAGCGATCCACGATGTCTGTGAATGTGTATTGTGTGTGGAGGTTCACATCACATTCACAGGTGTAAGATACCATTTGGTTCTCAGTCTGTTCTGTTCGTGTGTCAGTAAAACTAAAGATGGATTCATGCCCTACCATTTGCTCCAATTTATGAACGGGGTGTTGGTCTCTTTTACCATGATCGCCGTTACATACAATCTCCCTTCATCCATAATGCTCCTACCATGCGCTCGGTCTGCCATCTACCCATAAAACCCACTACATTCCATTCCATATCAGGGAAGTGAGCTACAATGGCATAAGATCGCCCCTACATACGATCGCCCTTACATATGATCGGCCTTCCATACGATCGACCTTACATACGATCTGCCTTACATTTGATCTCCTTACATACGATCGCCCTTACATACGATTGCCCTTACATACGATCGCCCTTACATATGATCGCCCTTACATACGATCGCCCTTACATACGATCGCCCTTACATACGATTGCCCTTACATACGATCGCCCTTACATACGATCGCCCTTACATACGATCGCCCTTACATGCAATCGCCCTTACATACAATCTCCCTTAGATACAATCTCCCTTACGTGCTATCTCCCTTACATACAATCTCCCTTACCGCCCTTACGTACAATCGCCCTTACATACAATCGCCCTTACAAATGATCGCCCTTACATACGACCGCCCTTACGTACGATCGCCCTTACATACTATCACCCTTACATATGATTGCCCTTACATCCGATCGCCCTTACATCCGATCCCCTTTACATGCGATCCCTTACATAAGATCGCCCTTACATGCGATCGCCCTTATATACGATCGCCCTTAAAGCGCGGGTCTCGAGAAGCAAAAAACCAAATCCAAAAGGTTTGGTTTTGGGTTGACGAAATTAGCGAAATAGTAACAACGCCCAACTAGCACCCTCACCACACCTCGCAATTTTTGAGATCCCCCGAAACCAAAACCTTTGGGTTTGGTTTTTGCTTCTCGAGACCCTCGCTTTAAAAACAGTCGCCTTAGATACAATCTCCCTTCGCCCTTTCATTCCATATCAGGGAAGTGAGCTACAATAGCTTGAGTGGATCCATTCCTCCTTCTATTCGAAGCTTGAATTTTCTTTCATACCTGCTAGGATCATCAGATATTTTTTTTTAATGATATTGTTTACAATCTCTTGCATTTCACTGTGTAATACAAAGGCGACCTGGTGTCTGAAACGAGGCTAAGACATCAACCGCTGGTGTGGCTATTCACTTTTAAAACCATGGTCTCAAATCTGCAAGCACTCCCGCATGTGTTGCTGCTGTTTGCTTTGGATTGGCTGGCATTGTGCCCAAATTTTGCAGGGGCCTTGGTTCGAATTTTCTGTCTGGTTCCATTCCGGAATTCCTTGGGAACTTTGTTGATTTGGTGCTCATGTGAGTTGGTTTTTTTTTGTTTTTTTTTTGGTTTTTTTTTTTGGTTTAACAAACAAAAGTGCCCTGCAAGGATGCAGAATTCACATAAAGCAAGCACATGAATTTCTTGAAACTCATTGTTAATGTGCGTCTGAGTTTGGCCCACATTGTCTGTGAGTGAATGTGTGCTGTGTGCGTGAATTCACATCACATTCACAAGTGTAAGACACCCACCTCACCTCAAACCTTGTTTTCCGATTCATCATGTGGTCCTCATTCAGTTCTTTTCGTGTTTCACATTCACAAGTGTAAGAAACCCACCTCACCACGTAATACGCGGAACCGACATCCCGCCTTCCGAAGAGCACGGATCTGACGGTTGTTGTCCCCCCCCCCAAAAAAAATCCCCCAAAAGACGGTTGTATTATACAGACCGTATTTTTGAACCATGCTATCATTTGATCAAATGTGTTCCTAAAGCAAGTCTCTTTACCGTTATCGCCGCCCTTGCACACAATCTCCCTTCATGCACAATTTCCCTACCGTCATGCATGCTATCGGTCTGCCATCTATCCATAATACCTGCGTCATTCCATATCAGGGATTTGAACGACAATGGCATGAGTGGATCCATTCCGTCTTCTTTTCAAAGCTTGACAAAAATGATATACATGCGAGTATCATTAGAACGTGCATGCCTTTTTTTTTCTGCACAGCTTCTCTTGCATTTCACCCTGTAGCACTAAGGCAACTGGGAGACTAAAAAGAGGCATAGACTTCAACCGCTCGTACGGCTATTCACTTTTACACCAGGGTCTCAAATTTGTCAGCATATCCTCATGTGTTGCTGCTGTTTGCGTTGGATTGGCTGGCGGCGTGCCCAAATCGTGCAGGGATCTTGGGTCGAATTTTCTGTCTGGTCCCATTCCGGAATTCCTTGGGAACTTTGTGGATTTGACGATATTGTGAGTTATAAAAAAAGAGAGTAAAATCCAACAAACTATGCCCAAAAACAATGCAAGCACCCAACATGTTATTTTTGGGATCCGCTGTTTTTATCGCTGTTTGCACCTTGAATTAATCCTTTCAACAACTCTGAGTTCAGTTCTTCGTGGTGCCTGCTGCTGACATACTGGCTCTTTCACATGTCAATTTCTCAAAACGTGTACTCCCTGTTGTTCCATGTTAAACCACCCCTCCTGCTGTCCCTGATTTATCTATCAGAAACCTGCAGAACAACAATTTTAATGGAACCATTCCTGAATCATTCAGCAAGCTCACAAATCTTTGGGATTTGTAAGACAACTTCAGTTGTGTTTGTTTCACCAAAACAAAGATTCAATGCCCTTCTTGTTTATGTATGTCCCTCTCCAAGCGTGTCATTCAATTTACGACACGCATGATTCTTGCAGGCATCAGGCAACTATGAAGAAGGAAAAGAAATCCATGTGCATGCTAGCATGTATCATGTATATGATCTCACAAAGCCTGGAAGTGTAATTTTTTGCAATACACGCCGATGTATGAATAAATTGCAATTTATTGTTTTTATGATGTCTTCAATCAATCATGTTATTGCAGGTATTTTGACCGCACCGGCGTGACGGGAGCTCTCCCTTCAATGCTCGGCTATTTGACTGGCCTTTCATCCTTGTAAGCCTGTAAATACAATATTCGGTATTCGCACACTATTCGATATTCGGTAAATACCCAAATACAAACGAATTCGAATTGGCTGTTTGTTCGGAGGTATTTGCGGGGTCAAATATTCGTCTCGGACGAATATTCGTTTGGGTTATTCGCAAAGTATTCGTTTCGAAATGACATCATATCTCGCCCTGTTGTTTAGGGGAAATGCCCGATACTGAAGAAATCAGTCGTCAGATTTCAGGGTGGGGCTAAAGTAGCCATAGGTTAACGACAAAAAAGGTTCATAGTCCGAGTATTGGAGACACATTTGTATTCGTCTCGTCTTCGCCTCGCCAGTATTCGACTCGAAATTCGTATTCGACGGAGAAGAAACTATTCGGCCAAATACAAATTCAGCTTCTATTCGCAATTATTCGGAGAAAAATATTCGAACTCGAAGTCGTACTCGTTTTTACAGGCGTACATCCTTGTAAGTTGTATGCTGCTTGAATTATTCGTACATTTACTCACATAGGATGCCTGAATTGAGTATTTTAGTGGAAATCACCTGTACAAAAGAAAAGAACGCGATGGTTTCGGAGACTACAGAAAGTTGTGACATAGCTTTAGCTTGCTTATTAGCAGTGTTTGTATTCTTTCTAAGTAACTACTCATGCTTATGTACGTAAAGCGTCTTATGCCTTCCCACTGTGTTTTATACTCATCCATTTACTGGAACTGCAGGCGTGTTGATCAGACAAAACTAAAAGGGGTGATCCCTCCGACGCTCGGTTATCTGACCAACCTCGTATCCTTGTATATTACTTCATCACTTGAGGCACCTCACATCTCTTCATACGCATTGCATGCCTCACCTTATATCCTTGTATGCTACGTGAGAAGTTTCACAAGTCTCGATCTTCTCTAGTATCCTCCCAGATTCACTTGAGAATAAGCATGGGTATATCGTATCGCATTGTGTTTTATCACATTTTGCCGTTGCGATTTTTAGTTCTACTCTTGAGAAAATCGCAGCGATGCGATGCGATTTAATCGTGCGATTTTTGCGATATTGCGATCATGTCGCGCTTTTATTAGCGCGATATAATGCGATATGCGATTTAATCGTCGCGGAATTTCGTCAGCAAGGGGGGGGGGACATGGCAAGCGGCAGTTTGGGGTTGGCGTATTTGATGGGGATGTGTTTGTGTGAGGAGCTTGGAGCACATAAGAGGAAGGCTGGGAATTCTAGATGGGAAGGAGTGCAGTGCGGTAGAGGGAGGGGAGTTGGGTGGAGGTTCAAATTTGTTATGGGTGGTGGTGCGCGGTGGGCGAGTGGGTTTTCTGAATGGGATGTGGTGGTGTGCGGTTGAAGGGATTTAGGGGGCTGGACTGAAATATCGACCCCCAAAGTCGATTGGTTGGAACTCCAACTAATTTCCACCACTTAAACCGCACTAAACTCCCCTACATCTACAGAATCCAGCCCTCGGCCCTCTAACATGTTCCACATGAGAGAGGGACCACGATATCCCCATCTCCTGTCAGTTTTCACTTACCTAATTCCGCGCAAAACTAGGAGAGCCGCCATTGCCCTGCCACGAGGTGTGGGGAAACCTTTTTTTCAGAGGGAAAAAAAGTGGCCCCTAAGTGCGATGCGATATTATATCGCATCGCGCGATATATCGCCTTTTTTGGGCGATATTTTTAAATATCGCACCCTAAAATGTGATATGCGATATTGCATCGCTGCGATATAATGCGCGATAAGACAGAATGCGATGCGATATCGCATCGCATCGCATTTTGACCATGTCTACTTGAGAAAGCTGCGTCAGATGCACATGCTCCTGCTTGCTCTGGCTTATTGCATGTTTTTTTGTTTTTTTTTTTTGCATGGTCCTCTCTCTCTCTCAAGCGGTCCTTTGTATTCATTAGGAACCTGTGTACAGGGCTAGGCAAGTGGGTCAGGAGCGGGCATGCAACCTAGAACCTCTCTCCCTCCCCCAGCTAGCCTACGTGGACTTCCCCCGTGGATTCCAAAATGACGAAGCAGTCTCCGAGGGACATGCCATCGTCTGGCGCCCCGAGGACAGGCCTCTCGAGCGGGGTGGCTTCATTCACCTTGCCGAGGTATGAAAGGGCCTGTCCGCGCTGGAGGGTGACCGACCACCGCTGCCGAAACTGGTTGAGCAGCTTGGCAGCCTGGTACGAGGTCGGGTTCGCATTGAAGAGGTGGCGGGCGCCAGTATGGGCCAAAAGCTGTAGGAAAGCGGGCACCTCGGCACAGGGGCACCCGTAGGTCTCCACGGCAAGGGGGAAGAAACCGACGTACGGCGCGCGGTTGCGATAGTGGTCGATCTTCTTGTCTGCTTGCTCCCGCGCCATGTACCCTCCCCCCCCCCCCCCCCCCCCCCCCCCCCCCCCTCTCTCTCTCTCTCTCTCTCTCTCTCAAGCGGTCCTTGTATTGATTAAAGACGTTGTACATACTAGGCATGTGGGCCAACTCCGGAGACTATGAAAGGTGCGTGCACGCAGGGGGTGGGTGGCTGGAAGACTAGAGCTCTCTCTCTCTCTCTCTCTCTCTCTCAAGCAGTCCTGGACATAGAATAATCCTGGGTACAAGCTACAATGGCGAGTAGGAAAGTGTACAACGACGTACTCTAAACAGACAGCAAGCACGCAGGCCACATTACGCATAGACCGCCCTCCTGCCCCTTTGATCCCGAGGTCCACCGGCCAGGCGCCGGCCGAGCTCCTCCCTTCAACACCCCCCCCCCCCCTTTGCGGCTCTCTCTCTCTCTCTCTGTCTCTCTCAAGCGGTCCGTTTATTGCTTGGAATCCTGGGTACAGACTAGACAGGCGAAGGCAGCAAGGCAAGGTACGTGCATGTCTAGTGGCCCTAAAACTACTCGAGCTCCCCTAGGGGTTCTGCTATGGCAAAGCAGTCCCCTAGTGCCATGTCAGCGTCGGGGGTGCCCACGGGGGTGTGGGGGGCAGGGGAGGCTTCGTTGACTTTGCCCAGGTAAGCCAGGGCCTGTGCTCGCTAAAGCGTTACTGACCAGTGCTGGCGGAATTGGTGGAGCAGTTTTGCTGCTTGGTAGGAGCTGGGGTCCGCATTGAATAGCCTCCTGGCCCCTGTGTCTGCCAGCAGCTTCAGAAAGGTTGGGACCTCGGCGCAAGGGCAGCCGTATGTCTCAATCGCCAGTGGGAAGAAACCCACGTAGGGCGCCCGGTTTCGGTAGTGGTAGATTTTCTTGTCAGCTTGCTCACGGGCCATGTACCCTCGTCCCTTCCGTGCGTCCGGGTCCCGGCTGCTAATGGGGTCCGTGACGGTGACGTCACAGATCCAAACGGCGTCGGAGCTGAGGTCGCGTAGAGCGAGGTCGGCCTTGTGGCCGTCCACGGGGCTGTAGATGGTTGTCTCCTTGGTGACTATGAAGTCAGCGTCCCGGGCCATTCTGATGCTCTCATCCCGCAGGGCGTTATGGGTGTCTGTCCGCCCGTGTCCGGTACCACAGCGGAAAAGGTGGTTGGGTAACCGTGTGTCCAAAATTTCGACCTCCTCAGCGCAGTTGCAGGTGCGGGGAGCTAGGAATGGAAGGCCAAGACGGAAGGCCAGGGCAATGGCGAAGTGTGGGGCTTCGAGGCGGAGGGAGGGGAAGATTGGAATGGCATGGATCCAATCTCCTGCTCCATACCCAGCCAGGGAGAAAAGTCGTTGCGTGTGGCCGGAGTTGGGGTTTGGGTCCATCGCCCTCGAAGCCGCCAATTGGCCGGCGTAGCGCACGGCTTGGACTTCGAGGGACAAGCGGCGTTGGAGAGGGGAGCCCGAGGGTTCCCTCCGCTCGGATTGTAGGAACTCTCGGGCCCGTGGGGGCATCGCCGACTCACACCTCGTCAGCCAAGTATGCAGGTGGGTGGGTCTGGAGAAGGGTGGTGTGAGGTGGCGTACAGACTCGGCTAGGGGCCCCGTGGATGCTGCTGGGAGGGCAGCTAGGAGTCCCTGTGCTTGGGTGACGCTGGTGAGAAAGGCCGGATGCCCTTCAATCGCTGGGTCGGTGAGCCCCAACCCTCCGAAAAAGGGGGGAAAGGACGCTTGTGCCCATGTGCGCGCTCGCTCCGACTCTCCCCTTGGCGGCTGGAGGTTGCAAGCGTGCAGTAGGGTATGGAATGGCTCCCTGCCCCACTCGGACCAGGCTTCCAGGGGCAGGAAGTTGAGGGGGGTGGTGCGGGCTAGGTATGAAACGCGCCTGGACACGCAGCGTGTGAGGAGGAGGGAGGAGGACTGTGGGTCCATCGTGGCCAGTGTGGCAAGGGGTTCGGCGAGCGCGGCCAGCTGGGTGCGGAGAAAACCAGCTGTGCCTTTTGGCGTGCCTATAAAACTACCTAGCACGCGGACCCCTTCGCTGTTGAAGGGTATTTCTGGCGGGAGGCAGTCCGCCATGGGACGCTCGGCGGACCATGCTGCGCACTTTGCGGGGTTGTGAGAGAGGCCGATGCGTTCCATGGCGGTGGTGAAATCCAGGAACGCCGAGGTGCAGGCATCCGGATCGCCCACGAAAGTCACGTCATCTGCGTAGGCCAGGCAGAGGACCCCGGGGTGGGCTGCCGCGGTTGCCTGGAGTGCAGGGTGGATGGCAGCCGCGAAGAGGAGAGGCCCCATAGGGTCCCCTTGGCGGACGCCCCGCGCGCTTTGTAAGGGTGGGCTACTGAACTCCGCGTCGAGGTAAAGAAGGGACAGTGCCCCATACGAGAATTGTATGAACGGCAGGAGGGGGCGCAGGGGCGATTGAGTGATGGCGGAGATTATAGCTCTGCGGTCGACGTTGTTGAACGCGTTTGGCAGGTCGACTTGCATGATCAGCGAGCCCGGGCACGCGGAGGTGTAGCCCCTGGTGTCGTGAATGATAATTTCACCTCCGCTCCTGATTGCTACCCCGAATTGGTGTGGGAGGAAATAGTCTTGCGCCGGCGAGGTTGAACTGATGAGAGCGGATTTAGCCGCTAGTCGGTGGAGGCACTCGCCGATAGCGATGGGGCGAGTGCTTCCATCTGGTTTATGAGGCGTGAGGATGTCATGAGCTGGCTGACTTCGTGCGGCAGGTTACCTGCGAGTAGGCGCTGAACGAGCTGGTGAAGGTGCTTGGCGACGGATGGGTTGGTTAGTGAGGCATCGCGAAGGTGCTCGAAGGTCATTCCTGAAGGCCCCGCGCCCACCCCATTTTCGCAGCGGGAGAGGAGTTGCGCGAAATCAGCGAAATCGATTGTCGGCGGTCTGTGGTCCTCGCCCAATACTGGCCAACTAAGGTCTTCGGCTAGCGGGGGAGGGTGTTTCAACTTCAGCGCGTCCAGGACAGCAGGGGTGGACTTGCTGACTGGGGCTGAAGTCAATGCGAGCAATGCCCGTCGTAAGCTACCGTGTCGCACCAGCCCCTCAGCTCGGGATATTTTACCAAGGGTGTCAGGTGCGTGGCGGGGTGGGGGTGGCAGGGTGACAGCTGCTGCGGCTGCTTGGTACAGTGCGTCCCATTGGCCCGCGAGAAATTGTCGGATGCGTTTTTCTGTCGCGGGCCAATCAGGGCGTTGTGGTGAAGGAAGGCGAAGGGTGAGACGCGGGAGGTAGAGTAACAAGGTCCAACCCTCAATGGAGGTTGGATGTTTGGCGAGGAAAACGAGGGGTGTCAGTAGGGCGAGCGCGAAGAGTTCACAAATTTGTGGGGGTAACCGGCGGGAGAGCGGGGGTTGGCGGCTATCGCAGAGTACTGCGATGTCCCAGTTGGCGATCTCGACGAATCGGGAGGCGTCGCTCGCCA